GTAATTCTATGCAGTTATGGGGCAAAAGGTGCCGGGGGAAAGATACCACCAAATTCGTGGCTTGTGTTCGACGTGGAGTTGGTTGATGTTCGATAGTTGGGCTCCTTTTTTTCTTTGCTCCAGTTTTGAAGTTCTTTGCTGTTATAGTAGCCGACCGGAACTTTGTTGTTTAAAGACATCTATAGGGTTTTGTTTTTTTGGGCAATTGTAAAAGTTCACCCTCATCATATGTTCCAATGGGCTTTGTGAGACGGTGGTTCTGTAAGCACAAATTTTGTGTACAACAACACTACATATTTTCCAACATGTTAGAACCATTGGTTTTAAACCCGACCGGTTAAGGGACCCAGTAAAGCCACTGGGTCTCGAGTTCAGTGGTGGATCCAATTAATGACGAGTGGGGACAGTCCTCACTCAACTTTTGAAAAAATTTCAGATTTTATATTTATTTAAATTTTGCCCCTCCATACCTTTGAGATTTTGGGAACGCAATAACCCTCATGATAAGTTCAGATTTTGTTTTTGTAAAATCCCGTTTAAAATCCTATTATATATGTTTCATATTTTTTCTGATTTATATTTTTATGCAAGAGGATCGGTTAGTTTTTAAAAGTTTTATTATGAGTGAAAATGAAAGGAATTAGAGCTGCTGAGTTTGTATTTAACTGAGGGGAGAAATTTGAGTATTTTTCACTGTTTTAAAACCCGGATCGGAGGGCAATCCGCTTTGTTGTCTAGGTCATGGGCAATTGGTCTAATCGATTGGACCGGTTGGTTGGATCGGTGATGTCATCATGCTGACATCAACACTAAAAAAAAAAAAAAACCTGTTTTTTTAAGAATTTTAAATTTCCATTTTTTAACAACCCTCAAATAACAATCATAACATAATTTAATAACAATCAAAGTGCAAATCCAAACATAATGTTGTGTTCATTCATTACATATTAAATGACAAAATACATAATAATTAATAACAAAACTTTTGGTGCAAAGTGTTTTTTTTTTTATCCATCTCCATGTTGATTGAGCTTCATACACTAGCATCAAAATTCATCATCATCACCACCGTCATCATCATCATCATAACCATCACTATCATCTGCAAAATGCGTATGAATATTGAATAGCTTAATACAAGTTTTACAACACACTTTCATACAATTTTTACAACACAGATGCAAGAGCTCTTTGGTATACATGTACATTCATGTAACTCTCTTTAATATTGTAGAAAATTCTTTTCACTGGCAAAATATTCTAGTATCAATCAAAGATTAAATGAGTAAAATATAAACGAAATAATAGCTTGGTTAGACACAAGCAAATTGAATATCTTAAAATCTAGATTTCAACAATCAATTTCATAACAAATTTGTAAATTAATTTGGGTTATTCGCTACTAAGCTACTCCTTAGAGAACATTTCCATAGATGTTTCTCAACCTAGATTTTCCCCATTGACAATAGGAAAGTACTAGATTTGCAAAAATTGAAGGGGTCATGACTCATGAAAAACTTAGGCTCCATTTGGTTCACAATTTTGTGTTTTTGGGAAAAGTTTTTTGAAAAAAGTTGAATTGGGCGGGTATTACGATGTAGGATTTACAAATGATAAAATACCCCCTATAATAAAACATTAAAAGTTAACAAAAACACCCCCAATCCACCCTCAAATACGGACAGCCGGCCACCATCGCCGAAGGGTGGTCGGAGTCCCCGTATCGGCGCATGACCGGTTGGATCTTGCCAGTCGTGTGCCGATATGGCCTTTTCCGGCCAAATTCACGGTGGATCTGGTTGGCAAAAGCCAGATCTACGGCTACATCTGGCCATTGACGGCTAGCTCTGGCTGTATTTGCTCGTCAACGGCCAGATCTTTGGCCTTAGGTCTGGCCTTTTCCGGTTAGATCCACCGTGGATCTGGCCAAAAAAGGCTAGATTGGCGCACTACCAACCAGATTCAGCCGGTAATGCGCCATCCTACCAGATTCCAGCCATTTTTCGGCAGTGGTGGCTGGAATCTGGTAAATGTGGATTATTGGGGTGTTTTTGCAATTTTTAAAAAAATATTTAGGGGTATTTAATTAAATTAATAAATTTAGGGGGTTTAAAAAAATTAAATAATATTGAATAATATTGTGAGTTTTTGGGTATTTTACTGTTTAACTTTTTTGGGAATACTAAAAGTAGTATTCCCAAAATGCAACCAAACGAAGCCTTACACTTTCTGAAATGGAGTTGTGCTGTTGTCGATTTCCAGCGAGGAATGTCGTCGTCGTCGTTGATATCTAGCGAGGAATAGAGCTTTGCCGCAAATTAAAAAACAGCCCCAATGTCACGCTTTTTTCCTCTGGTTACAAATTAAAAAACCAAAAAAAAGGTCACATAATAATTAATAACAAAATCATTTGCAATATAATCCATAATGAACAACATTTGCAAAATAAAGTTTAACTCTTTGAATACTTTATGCCCAAAAACAACATAAGCACATACACATAGACAATATAACAAACAATAAAAGGGCAATATTCACACAAATGAGCCACCACTCACCAGACCCAACAATCTAAATATCTAATTCGTATCCTCAAAATTCATCTGACCTTGTAAGTTGTAACTTCAGATATTTAGATATTTGCAAAATCTCTTCAGCTGCTTCTGTAATCTGTATTCTGTAATCAAATATTTGTAAAGAACAACAAATGAAACAGCTAAAAATGCTAACTAAATGTAGAAGAAGACGAACTTCAGGATAAAGAGCAAAAAAGCATTTTAGTTGAAGGAAAAGAGAATAGACCTGCAAAATCAGTGAAGAAGACAAAGAAGTACAGGTTTTGTTTGAGTTGAAGAAAATGAAGAAGAATCGATTTCGATCTTCTTTAGTCTTTAGACTTTAGAGTTTCTTCACTTTGATCTTTGTTTGAAGTTGAAGAAGATGCAATTTGGAGCGAAATCAGTGAAGGATGAAGCTCGATTGAAATGAAATAAAGAATAAAATGAAGATGCAATTTGGGAATGCGATTGTTTTAGGGTTATTGTAGGTTTCAATTAGTGGACCGGTTTAAGCCTCGGTCCGATCGGACTGGAGGTTTAAAACTATTCTGCCAGTCTATTATTGATCCAAAACGGTTTTGAATATATTACCGGTTTATATAGTAAACCAGACCGAAGTCATTCTCGATCGAACCGATCCGACCGGCCGGTCCAGTTCAGTTTTTAAAACAATGGTATTTTTACATCAGAAAGCTGATGTGGTGAGGTCATGGTGAGAATAAGAGAATTTTGGAGCAGTTTCATTCAAAGAATTTGTTTTATATATAAACTGGGTTGTTCACCCAAAATGAAGAATAAGAGAGAAAAACCCATAAAGAAGAAAGGAAGAAGAAGCAAAGGAAAAGAAGAAAGAGAAGAGAGGGAAGAATAAGTTTGGCCAGTTTTATCCATATGATTTTTCTGTACTTGAGTTGATGATACTTGAGAACCAGGCTGAGACTTATGTTATTGACATACGTTCTTGTGATACATTTGCTAAGTTACAAGGAATTGGTGATTTGGTTAAGAATTTAGTTCAGTTTAAAAAAGACATTTTGTATATGTTGGTGTATAAGCTTGTGAAAGTTGCATTGGTTTTACTAGTTGTTACTACGACCGCGACAGTTAAAAGGGCTTTTTCTGCAATGAATCTTGTGAAAAGTCAGTTATGCAATCGAATGGGAGATCAATGAATGAATGATTACTTGGTCACCTATATTGAGAAATATGTATTTGATATAATTGACAATGAGATGATTATCCAACGTTTTCAAAATATGAAAACTCGTTGTGGACAATTGTAGAAAAAATGTTTTATTTTTACAAAAATTGTGTTTTTTGAAGATATTTATTTGTATTTTGTAACTTTTTGTTGAAGCTCATCGTAATGAAAAAAAAAAAGTATCGTTATGATTGGTTTTTTTTGCCCCCATAGGGTGAAATTCCTGGATCCATCACTGCTTGAGTTTACCGATCTGACTGGTTAAATTGGTGGTTTGCCGGTGATCCAAAACATTTGAAATCTTGCAAACACAATCCTGAAAAATAAGAATCAATCTCTGCAGGTTTGAAATCTAGCAAATATACTCCTACAACTGTAGTCTGTTTGAGTTTCTAACCCCAACACTTGATTGTCCCTCGTTCGCTAGTCATAACTTGCGTATTGGGTTGAATTTTTCGGCCAAATTCGACTGATTTCAAAGTCCAAAATTCAATTTGACACCACCCCTTAAACCATCAGCCTCTACTTTACAAAAGCCCTCTAATCCCGACACTTGGTAACCCCTCGTTTGTCGGCGATCAAATTAGGGGTTTTATGAATAATGGAAAATGGTAACTTGGAGAGGTTGTCAGGTCCGGACCGGCTGATCCAATCCGACCGGCCGATCTGGGTTTTAAAACAGTGTTTAGAACATATAACATTTTTTACTAGCAATAGTTAAAGATACTAAAATGGTTCCATAAACTCCTTGGGCAGACAGGAAGAGGTTCTTTGCTTCTGATAAGTTTGATCCTGCATTCACAATGTTGGCAAAACGATGACGTTAAATGAATTAACAATTGAAATCAGTTGCTGCACCTAGTGTCAAATATTTGCATTGTGATCAGACGACTGTCATTCAAAGTTTCCCTTAAAAATATTTCAACCAGAAAAGAAGAAAATGGTTCTCCTTGGCAATGATGCCTCTATAATTAGACGACTTGAGGTTGAGGATAATTAAGTCTTTGCATCGACAGTTTCACGTTAGTATATTTGCTGCATTTGATGGGGTAGATTTTGTTCTTGACCAAAGGCATAAGTATCTCCAATTCATAGGTCCTCGCATTTGCCTCTGCAAAATGTCATTTGTTCCCTCAACAAGAGCAGATGTTTATGGAAACACGTAGCCATTCATTAGGGTCTTTGAAATTTCATGTAACAAAACACCGCCACAACAATATTACGAAGAACTCCAAAAAAAATAAAATAAAATCGTCTGCTAAATGTCATTGACTTTGATGAAAAGTGATCTAGAGTAGTTAAACAAACCATAACCATCAAGATCCCGCGGATGATATTATTTCCACGATATTATATAGACCTAATGCATAGAGAGACTATTGATGGCCTTAGTATGGTTCAACTGGAGCTCTGAATTTCGCACCAGCATAAACTGCTGCAGATCCAAGCTCCTCTTCTATCCTAAGAAGCAGCAATTCAAAACCACAAATACTTAGTTGAACCAAATGAAATGCCAGACTATAATGTTTTAAGTGGATGTTGAGAAAAAGAGTTGAAAATATTTTCATGACCAAAAAGTAGCAAGTGATTGTCCTATACCTGATTGTACTTGGCAAGGCGTTCTGATCTGCAAGGAGCTCCAGTCTTGATCTGACCCTGTTTTAACAAATGCATGTAAGTAACAAGAGACTCGTAAACCGATGACGTTGATGTCACTTTCAACTAGAGCTTTTTCCAAAGTAAAATTTTCCTAATCAACATATATGTAGTACACATTACAAGGTGTATGTTAGGTCTTAAAAATCTTTATAGTATCGTGTAGATTCAAAGTATCTCCAACCCGGAAATTCTTGAAAAAAAAAAAAAAAAAAACCCATAAAAACAGGTTCTGTTCCAAATCCGACATATAGATAACGAGTTTAAAGCATTGGCTTGGAAAGAACACTCACAGTTGCCAATCCAACCGAAAGGTCTGCTATAAATGTATCCTCTGTTTCACCACTACATTGAACAAAGAGAACCGCGTCACATATGTTGCTACAAACACTGGAAATTTATTAAAAGAGCTGGATACAAGAACATGTCATACCTTCTGTGGCTTGCCATAACACCCCAGCCAGCGTGTTTGGACATTTTCACAGCCTCGATACTTTCAGTAACGGAACCAATTTGATTCACCTGACGATTCATATATTGGAAGTCAATTTCTATGAGCCAAACGCTACTAATACATTAAACTACAACATTATCTCCAAGTCTAGATCCTCCTTCAAAAAGAAAAGAGTGTTGAGTACTACCTTCAACAAAAGAGCATTGCATGCCTTACTGCTAATAGCTTTCTCCACACGCTGCAGCAGCCAGAGATTTAATGTTAAACCTTTAACATATATCTTACCTCAGATTAGCTCAAATTGTGAAAAAATTTACCTTTGGGTTTGTGACAAGGAGATCGTCACCGACAATCTGCACTTGCCGTCCAATTTCACCAGTCAACTTTGCATAGTTCTCCCAATCATCCTGATCAAATGGGTCCTCAATGGACACAATTGGATAGTCTGATACGAATGACTTGTATACATTCTTCAAACTGTCCCCCGATATTTTTTGTGATCCATCATTGTTCTGCAGCAGAATGAGTTTCATTTTCTCAGCTATTTAATTTACCATCATATATTGATTATTTGTGTCAACCTGCATGTATAAGAAACATCTAGTTGTACACAAGTAAAATAAATTTTACTTATGCAATAAATGGACTACCTCTTCCTTGAAGTTCAAATCATAAGTCCTATTCTTGCTATCATAAAATTCTGAAGCGGCAACATCCATTCCAATAACAACCTAACAACAAAATCCAGGAATTAGATTATAAACTATCACACCACCTAAAGAATGGTTAAGTAACAAGGAAAAATTGGATACATATATGAGATAAGTAACGATGCAAAATTACACTAACCTTTCCAGTATATCCAGCTTTTGCTATGGCAGTCTTCAGCAATTCAAGGCCCTCTTTGTTTTCCTGTAATTCAGACATTGTCTTCACGTTCTCTTCTTATTGTAAAAGGACAATACTGAATATATCATACACAAAGCTTTTGAAACCCCAGAAAAAGAAAAAGGCAGTTATAGCAAGTAGTCTTTCATGAAGAAGAAAATGATAGCAAGAACAAAAATACCGATAATATGAACAATTATCGACCTGAATATTTGGAGCAAAGCCACCTTCATCACCAACATTTGTAGCATCTTGTCCGTACTTCTTCTTGATTACAGCCTATAAGAACATATAAGTGTAGTTTAACATGATGAGCGTGAAAATAATTGTAACTTCAAGCAGCAGCACAAAATTAAAAGCACTTAAAAAATAAAAAAAATCACCTTTAGGTGATGATATACTTCAACACCCATTTTCATTGCCTCCTTGAAAGAAGACGCTCCAACAGGGAGAATCATAAACTCCTACACAAGAAGAAAACTGTAAGAACTTCAACCAAAGAAGGGGATTTAAAATAGTAAAAAAGTTCTTACACCAACATTACCTGCATCGCCAGCTTATTGCCCGCATGGGAACCCCCGTTGATGACATTGAATGCAGGCACAGGCAAGACTAATGTCTTGTTCCCAGAAAGATTCGCAATGTGCTGCAAATTAAAGACAAATATTAGTGAATCTATGTAACATGTAGAAATTAAAGCAGACAATTGCACCAACACCTCATATACCTTGTAAAGAGGGATCTTCTTCACCATAGCACCTGCTTTACAAACAGCAAGAGATACTGCCAATATAGCATTAGCTCCGAGCTAAACAAGAAACAGAAGAAAAAAGAAACATTTCATAACGGATTAATGAATTGAAATGATACTGGAGCTGCTAAGGCCAAATCAAAAGAATTATTAATGAAATAATATATACTTTTTGTTTGCACCAGCCCCATTCATTAGTTGTACCATCAAGTTGTTGCACCATAAAATTGTCAATTTGAGTCTGCTCTGTTGGGTCCTGGGTATTCAGAAACAACAATATCACATTACTTTCATCCCATCAGTCAATCTTAAAAGAGTAAATGATATATAAAATTTCATCTATTACCTTGCCAACCAAGGCAGGACCGATGACTGAGTTCACATTCTGCACAGCCTGAGAAAAAACAAAAAACACAAAGATAGAGAAAAACCCACTTAGATTTTTGCCTGAAAATACATACCATGACTAAGAAGCCTTAATTTTCGATTTAATAACAAACAGACTATAGTGTAAAATGTTCAAATCACACATTTTAATTTATTGTTCTTGATCCTCTTTTAGAAAGGTCAATTCATACAAATAAATCACATACCTTGAGAACACCTTTCCCAAGGTAGTCAGATCCTCCATCTCTCAACTCCAGTGCTTCGTAGACACCTTTTATGATCCATCAAATAAGAGTAAACAACTGCATATACTTATACTTACTAATAAATATGCTCACTATATTTTTAAGAAAGTAAAAGATAAAATATAACCGACCAAAAAGTTGATTGCTCCATGCTCAACATAGAAAACTACTACTTAAAAAAAAAATAAAAAAATAAAAACAACTAGAATTACCAGTTGAAGCACCACTTGGCACAGCAGCCCTAGCAAAACTTCCATCGGAGAGAATCACATCAACCTGTTATTAATTTCATTAACCCAACATTCACTTTCAGCATTCCTAAATATCAAGTCATAGGCAGTGTTTTGGCTTTAGTTAAGTGAACAAAAACAATCAAATTACTCTCTTTATTACATTTTCTCATCAACCAAACGCAACCTAATCCGTAGATAAATATTGGAAAATCCAATAACAGTGGAAAAGAGTTTCTAAAAATTTTCTTAATTTCATAACCCGAAAGAAAAATAAAATAAAATCAGACGGGTGAGAGTGATCGAAATGGAATGAAACATACTTCAACGGTGGGATTTCCACGACTATCGAAGATCTGGCGAGCTTTGACAACCTTAATGGTGGCCATTGTGTTGTTGGTTCGATCTCAACGAGGTTTAGTTCTCACTTCTCAGAGAATAACTAGAATTACCGAAGTGTGCGGTCTTGGAACCGGGGGTTTATTTGAAGAGGTAGGCACGTGCATAGCATGCATGCATGCATCTATCACGAGTTGGTGGAAAAACTAGGGTGACGTGGATGGTAGTGATTGCTTTTGGGGACCATAGTGGGCCCTTGAGGAAGCGCACGAGAAGGAATATGCGGTGCGGATGCGGTAATTGGGTTCCTCGTTACAAGAAATTCATGATTGAAAATAAGGGCAATTTTGGGACTTCAGGAAGTTTCACAAAAGCAGTACCAGGCCTGCTTGGTACAATATATAAAATATGATATTATTAAAAACTATTCCAGACAGGATAAGTTTAGATTAAATCAAATATGATAGTATCTGAAAATATGTTTGGTATATTTTTGAAAAATATTTTCTAAAAATATTTAAATTATTTTTTAACACTATATATTTGTTAATTTAGTCAAACATTCTTCTACGATAAAAGTTTATAAATTAATAAAAACACTCCTACCTTGGTAGTCTTTTACCACCGTTAGACTATGGTCGGTAATCACCAGAATGATGTACGACCAGCTAGATTTGGCCTGTCATGCGTTTATCTGACATTTTTTTACCAAATCCATCGTCTATATGGCTAGAAACAGCTAAAATCTGACAGTTTCGGCCAGATCGACTACATCCAACCAATTATGAATCGTTCTGGCGGCGGTGGCTGGTAGCCGACGATGGTTACTGGTAGCCGACTGTTGTTTGAGTGGGTGGGGCACCATTAGACTATGGTCGGTAGTCACCAGAATGATGTATGATCAGCTAGATTTGGCCTGTCGTGCGTTTATTTGATATTTTTTTTACCAAATCCATCGTCTATATGGTTAGAAACAGCTAAAATCTGGCCATTTTGGACAGATCGACTAGATCCAACCTATTATGCATCGTTCTGGCGACGGCGGCTGGTAGTCGACGATGGTTGCTGGTAGCCGACTGTGGTTTGGGCGGGTGGGGAGGTTTTTTTTAATTTATAAACTTTTATTGCAAAAAGTAATTGTATGTTTTGAGTTGAATATAATATGATTGAATTTTGAATTGAATTCCGTGAATAGAGAAACAAACACGTTTTTTACTTTCTACGATAGGATAGGATAAGAGAAATGATAAAACTATTTGTACAAAATGACGTGACACTCACATAATGACGTGACACTTCATGTGAGTGTCACGTGATATGAAGGCCTACATAACATTAATGTGACATTAAGTTACGTGGGCTCCATTATAATATGGCATGCCACGTGAGTTTGTACTTTGTACAAATTCTCTTTATATAAAAGTTTGTACAAATAACATTACCCTAAGAGAAATAGAGATTTGAAAGAATAATGCTATGTGTATTAACCAAAAACCATATAACCCAAGTATTAATTGACGTGGCATGCCTCTCTTATTGTCACGTCAATTCTCCCAAAAAATAACAAATTTTTTTTTAAAATTTCAATCGTTAGTACTTAGATTAGTACAATTTAGTTAGTGCACATAGCATTACTCGATTTGAAAAGTGTACCAAACATAAGAGTGTTTTGGGTGCTCATTGTTGGGCTATTATTTTTCGAACGGGCCATTATCAGATGGGTTCACTTAAAGAAGCCCTTTTTAATGGGCTGGACCATGAATATCAGGCCTGATCCATTGTCAAAGTTATACACGCAAAGGTTCCCACACCGATGTTTTCAGTAGTTGAAGCTCCAGTTTCTCATAGCAGTACTAGGGTTTAATCAGGGTTTCGACAGGCCGCAACAAAGAGGTATTTTTCTTTCTTATTTCTCTGTTTTAGATTATAAAGTATTCATTTCAATCCTAATTTAGTGTATGCATGACCTGAAAAAAAGAATAATTATCACAGAGCTTCGGATTTTGTTCGTTATTCATGTTTCAATGCTTGGGGGAGGGAGTTTCTTTCTTGTTAGCCAAACGGAGTATTGAGCTAACTGTGGTTTGTTTCGAGGACAATTCTCGATTTTTAGTTGTTTTGGTGCTGCTTAAACGAAAAATTGAACCCAATAACCCGTATGTAGGAGGTGAATAATTTATACCTTTGAATGTAATCACATCTATGTGTAATGAACTTATGATTTTTTTAATGTTTAATTGAGTGTTGTTCTTCCTTGAAGAAGTAAATCGATTCTAATTTAGACTTGTTTAGTGGAAGCAATCTTGAACGATACACAATAGAACCTAGCTGGTGTTTCTTTGATGAATGTGCTTGATTGCTAGAATATTTTATGTTTAATTATATGTATAATATCTTGATAAACAAATGCTAGATTGTACTCTCAAGTTTTCCTTGAGTTTGAATGTTGATTTTGTTTTTTCCTTTTTATTTTGTAGGGTTTTTTAATGGGTAAGCCTAATAGAGAACCAGCTTTGTTTGATGAGGATAAAATTGAGGATGAGGAAATGAGTGATCTCAATGAGGAAGTGTCTGAATCAGAATCAGAACCAGAACCAGAATTGGACTCAGAAGAAGACGAAGACGGAGATGTTAAATTGGCTGAACCATCAAAAAAGGCTGTATACAATAGAGAGGGTCTTGAGGAAAAACTTCAAGATATTAGTTGGCCAGAAGATGTTGGATGGATACACAAGCTTTCCATAGATATTAATCAAGAGCAAGAGGTGGATGTGAATGATGACTTAAAAAGAGAGGCATCTTTCTACACACAGGCACTAGAGGGAACAAGGCTGGCCTTTGAGAAGCTTCAGTCAATGGGATTACCGTTTCTTAGGCCAGCTGACTATTATGCCGAAATGGTTAAGACAGATGTTCACATGGAGAAGGTAAAGCGCCGACTTCTTGCAGAACAGAAGGAGATTGAGGAGGCTGAGGAGAGAAAGAAGGCTAGAGAGGCCAAGAAACTATCTAAAGAGATTCAGGCCCAGAAGACGAAAGAGAGAGCCAAGCAGAAAAAGGAAGATATTGAATCTGTTAAGAAATGGAGGAAGCAAAGACAACAAAGCGGGTTTGCTGGTGATGTCAATGATGGCGACTTGAGTTTGGCCTTCGAAGATGGCAAATCATTTGAGAGGTCAAATAAGAGACGGCCAGGTGTGGCTCCAGGAGACCGGTCAGGTGGGAAGGCGAGACAAAGTGGTGGAAAGTTTAAGAAAGGAATGGATAAGAAAAGGAAGGGTAAAGAGTTTAAAAATTCAAAGTTTGGATTTGGAGGGAGAAAAGGCATGAAGAAGCAGAACACTGCAGACACCACTGATGCTGTCGGAGGGTTTAATAAAGGTGGTGTTGCCGGAAATAAGAAAAGGAAGAGGTGATAGATTTTCTGATTGTTGTAGCCCATGGGGAGGGTTTTTGATTCTTTTAGCCTATGTAATCTTTTATGCTATGATGCTTGTGGTGTTTGTTTTTAAAGTAAAAACTAGTTTGTTTTATGGTGTTCTGATTGATTAATCCTAATTACTCACAATTTTGCTGCTCTAAATTTAGCATTTGATAGTTTTATGTTGAGCGAGACTGCTATGAGTTTATGATTTGCTTTCATTTGAAGTTACAGATATGATAAATCCGTGTTTAACAATGAAGTCATCTATCTCATATTATTTGGTACTAAATTATTTTCCCATGGATGCATGAATCGGCCCTCATTGATTCCAAAGGAATTTCTGGTATAATCAGCAGAGAAAGTCAACTGATGCTTGGTTAGCAAATAATTGATCAATCATCAGTATTTTTGTGTCCTAGATCAGAATCATGCGTGTGCGGTTGTGGTTTTAGTTCATTTATTTATTTGGTGGGTTATAAAATTGGTGTATTAGATACAATTGGAATGGACATATTATGCATCATATCTAGTTTGTATTGTAAGTCCCTTATTACTTCTATATAAACTTTTTTTTTATTATTCTAATTGATGTGCTGATGCGTATAACCTGTTATAATCTATCAGTTTATAATATTGTTTAATTAGTGATCATCATACAGAGTTATTATAAGATTAATATTATTAATATTTGGATATTCTAACTAAATATCCTGTCTCCATGTCGACATTTTGCTTAATCTTTGAATCAGAGGCGAAGGCAGTTTTGTCTGTTTATGATCGTTTTCTTTTGGATTTTCATATCTGGAAATGGAATACTGTAAACAGTGAGCTTCATTAATAATGTTATCATTTCTAAAGTCAACTGGAAAATAAGAGGAAACAAAATTCATCCGGCTTCAAATTATTGTATACATGAATAATTGGTATGGGCTGTTAGAATTAAAATTTTCTATTTTCTGATTGGTGCACCAAACTTATTAGATTATTAATGTAAGTAATCATGTTTGAAACATGATCAAGATCTTGATTTGCACTAAATCAATATACTATCTTGAGATTAAAGAGAGAAATATAATTGAAGGGAATTGTTGAACATTACAGAAAAGGGTTTGGGTGATGTAATTAGGTGACATGAGAGTGAAATAAAAGAGGGAGAAAGGCACCATGTGAGGTTCTTATTTGATACAAAAGACTTTTGATTAGTTAATGAAGAAAAAGCCCCACATCCCAGTTGTCAAGAAGCTTCCCCTATTGCATTTGTATACAAATTTTGATTAAACAAAAAGCAACGTGTTGTCATCTTTCTTTAGCTTTCACACCACACATGAGCCCTTAACTTCTGCTGCAAAAAGCTTCCAATGCACACTTTTTCCTTCCATATACAACACAACCCTCTTAATATTTCTCATTCTACTGCAATCTTTTGCCTCATACTCTTTGACTTTGTAGTTGTCACAACAATGTTTGATTCAGCCTTGGAGTTGATTAGTCAAGCTGCTTCCAACTCTCTTTTCATCTTCTGTTGCTGCAATTTGATCATTGTCATGATTCTCATGGGGTCCAAACCCAGCTCCAGTTTTGAACGAGGAAGAGAAAGTTCTATTCCAGTGGTGACAAATACATATGCAAATGATAATCAAGTACAAGGAACTAATTATTGTATGCATTCAGTTGATGAGAATATAAAGAGGTTGGCGGATGTTAAGGAAGTGTCAAATGTCGAGGAAGAACAAGAACCTGCTGCTGATGATGAGGAAGAAGAAAGTAGCAATATTGTGAATGATAACAAAGAAGATGATGAGTTCAGAAGACGAGTTGAAGAGTTTATTCACAAAGTTAATAGCGGATGGAAGGCAGAATTGCTCAGGACTTCTCGTTTAGTCTAACAAAGTTACTTTAATTTCTTACCATATTAGGCTTGACCAACTTTAAAACTTGAAAGACTTTATTTTGTTTATGATACCTCAAACTTCTTGTATATATAAGAGGTTTCCATGATGCTTTACTGAACAAGTTTTGATTGTATCTTTGAAAGTGAATTGGTGGTCTAAAATCTCAGTTTTTTTCTTTAGTTTTGGTCGGTATTCTTATGTGTTTGAGAGCATTTTCAAACAACAGAAAGCACCTTGGATAATTTTGCAGTGTTTAATTAAATTAAACAAGAAATGCTTGAAGAACTTTTGAAGAAACAAATGTAAGATGTGAAACTATCTTAGGTAGTTTGACAGTTTGTTTGAGACTCTTGGGTATATTATTCAAGAAGTTTTGAGTTCGAATCCTCACGATTACTAATAAGAGCTATCTACTAGATGTTTATCTGGCCGTTAACTTCAGAGTCTCGAGAGATTTGTTAAAGTGCGTGCAAGTTGGCTCAAACACCTTGGATACCAACAAAAAAAAATAAAAAAAATAAAAAAATAAATGTAAGATGTTTTATTTCAAATCAAATGCATTGTAGTTTTCGAAAACTTTCTGCGAAAGCACTCTTTGCCCACTGCATAATATTTTATTCGAAGGGTGGAAGTTATGTGTAAACAACTAAACATATATGACTATCGTGGCATGCTTTGATTTTGAATAAATAAAAGAAAAAGACTATAAGCTTGTTAGGCATAAAGTTCTGAAGTTGACTTGGATTCACTCCTCAGTCACATGGATAAGAAGGACATCAAAGCAACAAGTGGAATAAATGAGGGAAAAGGGCATATTTGAAACCAACCGTTGATGCTTTTCTTGTTAACCTTTCGTTTTTAATTCGAATCAGTATAAAGGTTCTTCTTAAATTTCTCCATGTTCTTTAGGGCATCCACTTACATTTATTAGAATGGAGGCGTGCTGCTATGAACTCCAAGTCCAGGCCACTTTTCAATCACAATCTTTTACTAGTTTACAAGAGAAGTTATTTATCAGAGAAAACTCAACTACTTCTTTCCGAGTTCGCCTACAGAGCGCAGTCAGATCATATTTTGACTGGAAAAACTAAATTCAATCAGTTTCACCATCAAAACAGTAAAAAAACATTAACTTAAATTCAATCTTAATGATACAAAGTACCCAATGGGAGGAATGGCACACCAGTTTCATAGATTAAAAATGCTACACCAATAAGACAACATTAAAAAATACATGATAACAACAACCACAGACACAGGGATCCTAATAATTAGAAGTCCTACCTAAGCCTAATGAGAGTACAATTCTGGGTTAAAACCAACATCATAATAAACCCTGCTTTGCCCTTAATATATGGCCATTGGGGTTTGTTTGGTTTCTGAGAAGGTTGAGAGAACCTAAATGCTGTTGTGTCTGCAGATGAAAAAAAATTGAAGGTACAGCCAGCATACAGTCTCCACACGATCAACATGAAACCTCACAGTTTGATTGGCTTGGGCCTTTCGATTCTTCACTAGGTGAAGGTGTTTTATTGTCAGCAGCCAAGTTCTTGAACCCCTGCAAAGGGTTCAAAGAAGCCGAATTGTCTCCAAGGAAGGATGAAGATGTGACAATCGGCTTTACTCCACCATAGGACCCCTTTATCTCTTCTACTACAGGTAGAGTAGTGATAGTCATAGGAATAGGGGTGGTGACAACTGGTGCAGGCACAGTTTTTTGCTTCTTGTGCTTTTGCTCCTGCTGATGACCAGGCAAAAAACTGCCCACGACAACCTGTTGTACTCAAAACAATTTAGAAAGAAACTATTTGAAAAATGACTACTTAAAACTAGCAAATGCCTAAACATGATTAAGTGGTTATGATATACAGTTATACACGGTGGTACAGTTGTCTACCATTTACTCATGATATTTGACTATTCACTTGTTATTATATTTCAATTAAAATAGATATTTCAAGTCTTCTAAAAAAATTCAAAAAATTAAAAAAAAAAATGAAAATTCTAATACCTGCACAGGGCCAGCTGCTATCAGCAGGCCAGCAAGTCCTCCACCCACAACACGACCATCTGGGCCTGCCAAAGAGACACTCATTCCACCGGATCTGCTCTTTGTTCCTCCATTCTCAGTAGGCATAAATGAGCCAGACAAGGAAAGTATCTCAAATCTACCCTGAAAAAAAGTTAAAAGTCAGAGTGGTGCATGAAATTGGAAGAATAACAATTTGATCTTATCCAGGCAAAGTTGATAAGTATGAGATGTGAGGGAGAGGAGAATATAAGAATAGAGAGAGTCGGCAACCACAAGTCCATCTCTTAGACATTGGGAGATGATGAATTACAAATACTAGAGTAGACTACAGATACATGGATGCTGGTATTTCATAGAGAGACAGGGTTGCATCTAGTGATTTTGCTAATGATACTTCTTTAGACATAGCTCTGATCGTTCCATTCATCTCCTCAATTCATATCAATGAGAAAATCCATGAAACTGGAAAAGCTCACCAAATTAAGAACACGAAAAAGGTGTGAACCGCCATGACAGGGATAGATGTGCTGAAGATATATCTTAATTCATGGCTGTTTTTTGAGAAAAATTTAAAATTCTGCTCAGATCTAAATTCCATTCTAACTTCCCTCTATATTTCAACTTAAATCTTGTTCATTTTGTTAAAATGTGTTGTTTACTAGCAACAAACAGAAAAGAATGTGCATGTAGTTTTGCTTATATATTCAATGAACAGAAAATAATTTGCTTTGAGTACGCTTCAAAACATTGCTTAGATACAGTAATTACAGACATACACCAGTACTCAAGACCCAAAACAGTAACTACAGACGTACACAAGGAGTCAACTCCCAAACGAAGTCAATGTAACAAATAAAATACAAAATCGTTTGACATTTATTTCTGGAGACATTTTTAGAATAGAAATGTAAACAAAGGGCATTCTCAAGGCTGTATCCGAAAAAAATTTATCCGTCTCTCAAATCTTGTTAGCAATAAACTTCTATGAAAATTATATTAGAAAAGCATGAAGGGCCGCACCTCATATGTTAGAGTACCCCCAGAAGATGTAGGCTGGCGAAGTGTAACATTTGAAATTGTTCCATTTGCAGACAGAACGCAGATAGCGCGAGCTCCTTGTTGAGAAAATGACATAATCTTCATCATAACATCCTGAAACAACCACAATGCAAGTTAAAAATGCAAAAAGGGTGAAAATTCAATCACTGAACAATGGAAAGGATACTCATTCATAACCCCACCAAGACCTACAAACAGACAAAATACATAATGATAATAAAAGAGGTTCCAGAGATAACAAAATTGAAACACTTGTGTCCACTTGCATTATTTCTGTTTTTGGTGTTCTAAGAAGTGGAACCAAACACAATTTTTCTGACTTCTTCCATTATTTTGATGAAAAAGAAATAAACGAGGTCATTCTTCTTCTGCTACCTATTTCACTAGACAGTAAAAGTGAAAAACTTGTTTAATGTAGATAATGTTTCTGGCTTGTATTTCTTCCCTAGTCTAAACTGGAACAAGAGGTTAATAATGTGGTCCTCACACCATTATGAATATAATGTTGTAGGTGTGATTAAACCTGTAACATGTGGCTTGGGCACAGACAAACCAAACAACCTGTAAGTTTCTGCTTATATTAAAATTTTATGATACATGATTTCAAACCTAAGAATAAGGTCAACATTGTAGTTAAGAACTCCAATGCAAATGAAAAAATAAACAGGATAGAACCAATAGAGCAACAATTCAACCTGAAAAATTGCAACAAGTTTTATATCATGTATATTTGAAGGCTTACTTCGCCAGTATTAACAGTGAGTACATGGGGCGTGAAGTTTGCACCAACGAAGTATGAAATCTTGTCACCTACAAAATCATTTTTAAGAAATCAGTCTAACCAAGAGAGACCTTACAACTTTCAAGTTGCATGATTATGACTTTGATGCATACCAATCATAAATCAACTTAATATGCCAAATTATTTAACTTTAAAGATGGTAAAAAAAGAAAAAAACAGATTCAGCAAAGTGCCCAGGTTCACAGAAGAGAGAAGAAAATTTCACAATCACTGATTAAATATGCTTAATTGGTTGCTTAATAAAACTAACTTTGTTAATATAACGACAAAACTTCCGTACCCCACCATCCTCCCCACAACTGTGACATTATTGAATGTTCATACCTCTTCGGTGAGAGCGGTCACAGTTATATCCTTATGTTAGGCACATATTATACCACGAAATGAAAATCTTAAGTGTGAGAAGGAAAGAAATGACTGACTGTTTCCCTTTTTTTTTTCTTTTTTTTTTTTCTTTTTTTTTTAAAATTCTTATGACTTGAATGGAATTTCAAATGAGCACTATCAAAAGGTTAATTTTAATTTTAGAAAAGTTGTCATAAAGTTCCTTTTTCAGGTAGTATTTGAACCCATGATTCCCTCTCCAACGAAGACATATTATGCCAGGTTCTTATTCCAATCTTTGACCAATACACCTATGACAGCTTTCACCAAGTTCGTTCCAATCTTTGACCACTATATATATATATATATGGAGAAATAGCTTGTGCTCTTTTAACTTGTATTTCTCACTGCAAATCTTTTGCAATTAGATTGGTAATCCCATTATTCTCTGGGCAAAGTCAACCAGTCTAAGATTACTACAATTAGGTTAAGACAGATTTGGGCCCAGTCACATCAGCTAACGAGGGTATTTACCAACTAAACAAGATGCCACCTCTAATGACCCTCCCTCTCTGTTTCCATACAGGAGTCTGTTATTTCCCCAACAAAAAAGGCAACACAAAAAGTGTTCTACTCAGAAGAGAGAGATTCCTTCATTTTTACAGTATCGTCACCAAATCCTCTTCTGTCTCACAGTGACCATTAATTCCAGATATGGGCAGAAATCAGAGATAATGGTCCCACACCTAGATCAAACCCCACAAAAATCCTCTTAAATTCAACTGTAAAGCTCAAAAATCACAAACACCCCACCCCACATAACCAAACTACCACCAGCTCCAACTTTTTCGCCAAACTAACAACTCAAACGTCAATAATTGCACATAACTTAGTTATTGCAACAAAAACATGAATCTCCAATGTAACAGTGACATCTGAAACATATCTATATAAACATAATTACTACAACTTCAAACATTCAAATATGAAGAATCTAAAAACGAATATATCCCATTACCTGGAGTCTCATGTTCAAACTTATAAGACTTCTTGATGTTATCAAGCGGCCGCCCTCTACTCCGTTTCCAAGCAGAAAAGTCTCCCGTCAAAGGAATTGACGAAGAAATCGGCATTGGGGATAATGCCATTGATAATTTCCCATCGGGACCATACTTTCTGGGTCTCCCTCTCTTCTTCTTCATTTCTGAGCCCGAACCCGGAGCCGAGGCCGAACCTGGGGCCGAGCCTTGAGCTGAACCCGACTCCGGCGGCGCCGACGTGGCGGTGGCTGGTACAACAGTGGGCCCCGGAAGTGGGCCTGGGCCTGGATTTTCAGTGATTGGGGCAGCCCTGAAGCTATCTGGAGCTTCATCTGCCTTCACTGTAGCCCCTGAACTTACATTATTCTCTTCTTTTGCCTCCATTCATAGATCAACAAAATAAAAACCCTAAAAATAATAAACTCTCTAAAACCCTAAAAACCCTAAAATATATAAACACTCAGCATTAAAGGTACAAGATTTTTCAGTGAATAACACCCTGAAAAACTAAAGCAAACGTTTTGAAACAGAATTTAAAAAAACAAATTGAAACTTTATGTTGAAATGAGCCAAACAACAAATCCACAAGCCCAGAAAAAAGAATTAAAAACTGGTCAAGTTAAATTAAGAGAAAATTACAAAGAAACAAACCCAGAAACTTGTTTGAGCCTGGAAAGATAAAAAAAACACAGTAAGACAGATAATTCTCAGTATAAAATACAATTCTGTGACTTAAATCTCCACCATTGCAGAGAATGCACAGAGCTTGAATATTGACAGTAAAATTGGGTAAAAAAAAAAAAATAAGAAAAAGTTACAAGAAAATGAAAAATTGTTTGACTGATTACAGAATTTCTATCAAGCGAAATGAATTTAGGGTTTTGCAGGAAAAGGAGAAGAAATAAATAAAGAAGAAAAAATGGAAAATTAAAAAAATAATAGTAATTAAAATACATAAATGAATTAATTATTGGGGAATTTGATTTATAAATAATTAATATTTTAATTGCAAAACTCAAAGTATGAATTTTGGTTAAGAAAATGGTTGAAGTCCGTCTTGGAAATTTAATAAAGGTGAATTAATAAATGAGAGAGATAAGAAATTTGAAATAAAAAACTAATTTTCGATTGGGAAAAGAAAAAAGCTTTAATTATTTTAAATTGTCAATTTATTTGTTTAAAGCTAAAAAGAAATATTTTAAAGCTGTAAAGCTAATGTTAGAGCCATGCCATTTATCCAACTACTGACAACGTCTTTGTCTTTTCAGTTAATTAAAGTTGACTATACAAAAATTTAAATCAAATGCCCTTTTATTTTCAATAATCTACTGTTAATGCCACTTAATTTAACTTAATTTCTACTTCCTCCTCAAAACAAATCCCCTTTCTCAACTTCTGTTCTACGTTATCCTCAACCCACCAATCGGAGTAATAATAAATAATAACATAACTTAAGGGCAACAACTTAAAATGAACGTGTGGAGTTATTGTTTAAAAAAAAAAAAAATTTAAAAAAAATACTTGTCGATTATGGATTGGGACACACCAACTAAAAACATAACTAATACATGTAAGTCATCGTTTCAGTTGAATCCACTTTTGTCTCAACCTATTTGTGGCAGTTAAACTGAAATAAATACATTCCTAAATTTGGGGAAACCTGTTCCAACTAATTATGCTTTAATTTGTTTTTTGTTGCAGAAAGTATCAATTGGGTCTGAACAATTTTAGTTACTGTAAGTTCAAAAAGGGCATCACCATTTGAAGCCATTCCCAAAGTAAAATCTCAAATTAAGCAATGAAGATAATTTTTAAACAACTTAGTCCACGGTCAGAGATCGTAGACTATGTACACAATCTGAAAAAAAGCCAATTACAATTGACTTATACCCCACTACAGTTCTAAAAAATTTGAGAATAAAAACAATATGGATCGATTCATGTTGCTGAAACATCAAACCGGTATCATTGGCTTAATTTGGGATTTTGGTAGAACAAATCCGGCTCTTCTTTCCTCAAATGAATACTCGATCTCTTCTGGAATTTCATGAACTGGATTAGCACTGAAAGGGATAGGTGCAGTTGGTGCAGGAGCAGGAGTCATGGCCGTTTGCATTGGCACTGACACTGTTGAAGGTGTAGGGGGCAGCAGAGGAATTGGCATTGCCTTGGGAGTCCTGTTTTCTTCATCCACAACAGTAGTTGTTTTCAAAGGAGTTGTGCATGACAAATCATTAGGTGGAATGGTTTTGTGTAATGTCGTCTCACTGTTGTTGGTACTAAAATCATCCAACAAGTTTGCCATATTGGATTTTGATGACGTTGTGGAAGAGATGGGTGAAAATGGTTTTCGTATCAGTGGAGACTCTGGTTCGCAAGCATTAAAAGCATTACTGCCTAAGGAGTGTTTTTTCATGGGAACACCAGCCATGTCCAAGCATCTTCTACCTACAAAAAATGGCAAAAAGACATTGTCAGTGAGTGAAATGGAGTTATCTGATGAACTTCAATGCAAACTAGTTGTTGATAACGACATATCAATTATGTTAAAGAAACTAAATAGAATTCCACATCAACACGAACGTTGAATAATTTAACTGTTTAGGCAGAATTTTACAGAGAACAATATCTCCCGACAAATTTTTGCTGGGAAAATCACCAGACAGTCCCATATAGAAAAGCCAGAGGAAAAGGAAATTGTGAAATCATGACAAAATCATTTCGCAACCAAGGATTACCGCAAGTTATTATTTTGTATTGCAATCATTATTGTGCCTGATATTAAACCAGAACATATATTCTTCAATGAGCTGTTAATTAATGATGCTTCCTTTGACCAGTACGAAAAAACTAAAACATTTGAGCAAGAAAATTGCATGTAGGGCTAAAGGACCAGTTGTGCATACCAGCTGATACAGCAGAGAAACCATCATCATGTTGGAGATTTGAATTGTCATTTTGGAGTATCCGGTCAGTTTTTCTTATTGGACGTGAATGGGGAGTAGCTTTTGCGGAACCAAGTACATCAGGTTTAGGAGTCTGAAGCATTGTTCCTCCTACTGAGAGTCTTCTACTGCTTGCAGCACCACCAGTTGAAACTCTAGGGGCTTTTTTCACACTCTGAACCTTTGAAGGGCTTGGTTTTGATCCATAAAGTGCCTCTTGCTCTGCTATAAGTTGACCCTGAAGTTTCTTTTGGTCCTAAAAGAGAGAAACAATTGTAAATCGATCATAATCAGCCCAATTTCAATGAGCAATTGTATAAGTTTATCCACAGAGCATAAGTTTTGAGTAATGACAGGCAAATACCCGCTGCCTACGACGTTCTTGTTCCTTCTCTTGTCGTAATATCGTGTATTCTTCAAGCANACATTTGAGCAAGAAAATTGCATGTAGGGCTAAAGGACCAGTTGTGCATACCAGCTGATACAGCAGAGAAACCATCATCATGTTGGAGATTTGAATTGTCATTCTGGAGTATCCGGTCAGTTTTTCTTATTTGACGTGAATGGGGAGTAGCTTTTGCGGAACCAAGTAGATCAGGTTTAGGAGTCTGAAGCATTGTTCCTCCTACTGAGAGTCTCCTACTGCTTGCACCACCAGTTGAAACTCTAGGGGCTTTTTTCACACTCTGAACCTTTGAAGGGCTTGGTTTTGATCCATAAAGTGCCTCTTGCTCTGCTATAAGTTGACCCTGAAGTTTCTTTTGGTCCTAAAAGAGAGAAACAATTGTAAATCGATCATAATCAGCCCAATTTCAATGAGCAATTGTATAAGTTTATCCACAGAGCATAAGTTTTGAGTAATGACAGGCAAATACCCGCTGCCTACGACGTTCTTGTTCCTTCTCTTGTCGTAATATCGTGTATTCTTCAAGCATGGAAAGTAAACGAACCTGGAAATGACAAGAACAAGAAAAGTTACAGACAGTTTCAGAAAGAATGAAAGTTCAACTATCAGTCAGGGATATAAACCTCCAGAAACAAATCAGAATACTTACACCATCATATAAGAACTGAACACCTCTGTCCTTTTCCCATGCTAAGGTTTTTGAAGCCAATGCCTCCACCATTCCTGACAAACATTCAAGAGAGCTTACAATTACAAGAATTATAAAAGAATATATGTAGAACTTGGAATGGCAAGACATATAGATGCCATGGATGGAAATGGTTTAAAAGATAAACTGCATAGAACTTGTAATCATCAAAAACAACTCGGATTCTATTAATAGCAGATACATGAGTTGATGTATTAAGCAGCATTACCTGGAAGTTTATTAACCAAGGAACGAGCTTTCTCAGCACGCTTTAGAATAAGATGAGCACCTTTTCCAGCATTGTATCGGTTTTCATCCTGTACAACCACCCACAGATGACAATTAAGCTAAGCAATTAAGATATAATAAAATAAAACACAAGGAGATGGTGTAACAGCCAACCCTGTTGTACTCCTCAAGCCAGCACTCCTCTTCGCACGCTGCCAACCATTTCTCAATCTTTTCGAGTATTTCTTTCCTGCTAAAAGCCTCCTCTTTAACCTTGGCTATTTGAAGTTCAATCTGTTCAAGAATGCTAGCTGGGTCCATGGCTCCTGCATCAGTAGAAATTGTCAAACATTCAGAAAAATTAGAGATAAAAGCAATAAAAGTGGTGCAATGACTTGTATCATCGCAGAACATACCAGACTCGATGGCTTCAATGGCATATTCCATTGAACTATCATATTCTGGAACCATGTGTGTTTTTCTGCAGATCTCCTCTAGCTCTGATCTCTTCTTCAAAACAAGTTCTTTCATTTTGCTCGACTTCAACTCTTCCAACCGGGACACCTCTGCCTCCACCTGCAAAATCATCAGACTCTTTATCACTCCCGAAGCAAATCCACCCAGAATTTGCAAATACAGAATCAGAAGAACTGGCAGAAGCTCAGGATAACCAGTTTTCAAATGCTTATGACTTACACAATTAATGAAGTCCACAGAGAGAGTGTTGGGTTCAGTTATTTCATGTTCAGAAGCAGCAATATTACAGGTAACATTCTGAAATATCTGCTGCTCTTCAATCGGTGTATCCATCAAATTCCATAGCTCCAACATGGTAGTAGCAAGATCTTGCAGCTGACATGACTCAAAGGGTCAATATGGTAAAAGAGAAAGGATAGAATGACCCAACAGAATTAAATATCAGTTTTTGGATAAATGGTTAACGCTTCAGGTACCTTCTGCATTCTCTGTATCTTAACCTCTCGCAGTTTGTGTATTGCAATAGTCAATCGTTCAATAGTATCATTACTTATACTCCTTGATCCTTCAGAGTCACCTAAACTAGGATGGACTTCACTAACTGTGGGCTTGAAATCCGTACCAAGCACTAAGCAAAGAGAGTTCAAAGTGTTTAGGAGTTCCTGAACCTGCTTCAACCGATCACTCTGCATACAAAGATGATCCGAGCAGGAAGTTCAGAAATGTTGACAGTTCGCATCTAAGGTCTGATGATAACCGAAAAAAAAAAAAAAAAAAAAAAAAGTAGATATATATATAGTTGAGTTAACCTTCTCTTTCTGGAGTTCAAGGAGCTCTCTGTGAAATTCCTCAAGCTTTCTAAGAGATAAATCTGCTTCATCCACAACTGTTTTTGAAGAAGTATANACTTCACTAACTGTGGGCTTGAAATCCGTACCAAGCACTAAGCAAAGAGAGTTCAAAGTGTTTAGGAGTTCCTGAACCTGCTTCAACCGATCACTCTGCATACAAAGATGATCCGAGCAGGAAGTTCAGAAATGTTGACAGTTCGCATCTAAGGTCTGATGATAACTGAAAAAAAAAAAAAAAAAAAAAAAAGTAGATATATATATAGTTGAGTTAACCTTCTCTTTCTGGAGTTCAAGGAGCTCTCTGTGAAATTCCTCAAGCTTTCTAAGAGATAAATCTGCTTCATCCACAACTGCTTTTGAAGAAGTATATACTGCTGATCCATGAATCTCATTTTTTATCATCTGTATTTGCTCCACAACATCAACGAATTGGTTTCTTCTGTCTATTTTTCTTTTTCGCATTTCTTCCACTTGAGGAAGAATTCTCCTAAGCTCTTCCTTCAAGCTTCCGATATTTTGATCAGACTGAAAATACAGGCTCGTTAGCAAACAAATTTCAATAAAACAAAATGTACTGAAATTTTGAAAAAAAAAAGGTTGACAGGAGTAAAAGAAAATAATTGGGATCTCCAAACAAATTATGTTTCAACTATAACCAAAATTTTAAATTTTACAATACTTTGCAACCTTTCTAGTTTCTCATTTACAACAAAGTTTTGCAAGATGATCTTGCAAAATTTCTAACCTTAGTCTGACTGTATTAAATATGGTCAAATAATACACCAATCAACTTCACTCCAATATTTTCTTTCCTAGTGTCAGTCATGCCAACAATCATTGGAAAACTGAATGCAAAAATACGCTAATTATATTATATCCTAAGTTCAGTTTTCATTATTCACAAAATTTACAGACGCGAAGAACTTGTAAGAAATCATCATTTAAACCACTGCCAATTCACAGAGCAATGCCACAATCACTGCACGTGATTCAAAATTATCACACCCAGTTGAAATCGTTCAATCATTTCTAACCTGCCTAATATGTACTGGTCGCTCCCCCATTGCAGAACAAATGGCTGCAAGTTCGGCTTCAGAGTCTGCAATTGTCTGCCTCAGCTGCGCTCTACACCGGTTCGCCTGATCCACCTTTCTTCTGTATACTTCAAGACATTCTTGCTCGAGCTCAAGCAGCATTTTATCCCTATCAGTGTCTGTCTCGCCAACTTCATCCCAGATTATCTGATTTTTTCCCACAAGTAAAAGAAACATAAATTACACAGTTTTTGCTGCCAGAAATTAAATAAAGAACAATTCAATAAACAAGTTCAAACGCATGATGAATTTGGGTTTATGCATAAATTTTAAGGCTTTCTTTTTCGTAAGGGCTTATAAGCAACCTGAAGTTCATATAGAAGTGTTCCACAAGTTGTCTCCACTTGCAGAAGCGGATCATTTTGAATGCTGGACATGTTGCAGAACCTGGCCAGCCAAAACCATACAGGGAATTAGTTAGACAAAAATAGCACCAGATTTCCCAGAAAACAACAAAGTGTAACATAAAATTTAGCTCTAGCAACCAAGAAGTACGTCCTAAAGAACCGAAATGAGAAAAATATATATCAGAACCAGTGCATAACCTAATTTCTTCAACTCATAATCATAAAATATGGATTGCAAGAGTTACATTTCTCACCCACATTTTGGGAACTTGAAATTCCCAAATTTTTAGCTTCTTTCAGCAGGTTTTTTTTTATCTCTCAATTAGAAACGCTTACCTAAAATTACTTTTATCTATAAAATCTTTAGCTAACATGAATCGTTAACTAGAATTGCTCATCAAATTCAAAGCGCAACGTAGGACATTTTCAACGAGGGGAAAAAAATAGAAGATCATTTCAAAAACGAGAAAAAAAAAAATTTAAAGTAGGCTCAATTTAATTTAGTTTCTCCGAATCGCTTTCCTAAACGACAAAAACATTCGAAGTCCTACAGATTCGCTTTACTTCCAGTTTCCTGCACTTTCTCAGAAGCCAAACAGAAAATTACGAAATAGAGAAGGAAATTGAAGAGAATGTAAGTAAAGATCTAAAAACAAACCTGTACAATAGAGAGCGTTTCGGCTTTCAAATTTTCGTCTATCTTTTCAAACGTGTAATTTCGTGTAATTTTCTGGAAAACAAACAACACAAAGTTTCTTCAATGAAATGTCTCAACAATGTGAAATAATAGAATTAGCCTCCGTCAAATGTAGTTCTCATAATCTCGAAAACAGCAACAACAATTTGAAGTATTACAAATTCTGCAAAAAAAAAAAAGATAAAGAACAGGAATAGTGGAAGTATAGATCTGAAGACAAACCTGAAGAATAGAATAGCCTGAGAGCTTGGGCTTTACAAATTCTCCAATTCTTAGCAAAGTGTTTTGAGTTTTTACTTTTCCTGAGAAAATATTTCTTTTCCTGGAAAATGAGTTTGGTAATAGTATGCGAGAATTAAGGTTGAAACTATTTTTGATGCAAAAGAAGTTAAGAGAGAGAGTGAAGGTAGCCGTTTGTGAAAATTGGACCGTTGAAGAGCGCTTGTTAAGCGTATGTTTTAAATGATGGGCGTGATTTGATCCTCAGGGAACCAAGTTGATTTGAATTTCAAATTCGAGGTCATAAAATCAGGTGTAGTCGGTTGTAAACGCTGACGTGGATCTGAACCGTCCATTGGTTTGGCAATAGGTTCAACGGTTTATCAATCTAGCGGCTTTTATCATGTATATGTAGATCCATATTTGTATTTGAATATTGGCTTATAGCACTTCAACACGTCAGCAAACAGTAGTAACTACTTTTAGTGACGTGGACGTGCTTTATTGGATGGAGATTCTTATTGTCAGATTAAAGAAACTTCTCAGAGAGAGAGAGAGCGACAAACTCCAAAATTATATGAAATGGATCCTAAAGTCCGTTGCATTTGTCATTTAGCTACGTAGCCCAATATCTTAAGGACCCGTTTGGTTTGTTTAGAATATAGAAGTGCTTTGGCAAAAAGCATTTTTTAAAGAAGTATTCCTTGTACAAATGTAATGACCACCAATGCATAGGACATTAACATTACAGTGATACAAGCACTTTACCAACTTCTTAATTTAAAATTTTCTCTCTTATCGAGAGTTATTTTTTGGCTTTCAACTTTTAAGTATTGCATTTATGCAATTAATAAATGAGAATTTGTATACAAAAGTAAAAAATTTTACGTTTGTTGAAACGGTGAAAGCGATAATTAACTAACCATGGACCATGGTCAAAGTATTTTTATAGTATTAATCCTCTGCATTAAGAAAAACCATTTAAAGCTGGCCATTCAACTGAATTTAGTATAACTTAAGGTAAGCTTTACAAATCACTATCACAGAAATTAAATTAAATTGAAACTCAAGTATATATTTTAGTTTATTCCGGAAGCCTCTGTCCAAAAATACAGCTACTAGATGCTGATCTCTAGATCTGTAACAAAGGAGAATTTCTCTACATACCTTTTTCCTATAAATGAAATTTGATAAAACAAATGGAATAGACTGTAACATAATTTAGATACTACTAAAAGTTTAACCTTTTGATCACAGAAGCACAAGAATGCAGATGGCTGATCACTTCGCAATGGAAACATGTCAATTGTTAGATAACGAGCTTTGGTTGCCCTCAAATTCTCTCCTTATGGTTTCAAGCACAAGTTCGTTCCAGGTGTCGACTGGACCTGGCATGCACCAGTGTAAGCAATCCTGCGGTGGAGGCCTTCCATCTGGGCCCCGTTTTGTGATCTTATTTGGGTCAGGATTTCGATAGGGACCCGGATGTCCGTCATGGCGGTACCCGAAGGCTTCAGTGATATCCATCAACCTCAATTTTGATTTATTCGTTGCCTTCTTAAGTGCATTGTTGAAACCTGTCACCTGTTTCTCGTGCATAATTTCTGTGAATCCGTTTTTCACTAACTCACCAGGTGCAAGAGGCTTTTCCTTTCCGGTGCATGATCCACCTGTATTCCAGGCACCACCTTCATAATGATCAGGTGAATAGGAACGCACAATGGTAAGTCCTGTGTAGTTTGGATGTGTAGCGATGGCAGTGAGAACTGTCTCAACAGATATACCAAATGCTTCAACATTATTAATTTGTTTTGGCTGAGAAGTATTCGACCACCATAACTGTCCTCCCACAATCTCATTGTTCAATATATAGACTGACTGCTTGGCAAACCAGTGCCCTGAAGAAAGAACAATCACATCAAATTCTAAAATATAATTCATGAAGTATTCATCTGGACTATCAAGGTGGAGCTTGTCAACACCAGCAGGAGCGAAATCAAATGGTTCATTAGTTTTATGTACAAGCCAAGAGGACCATATCCGGACAATCATTACAGATGTTGACTTGAAGTACCATCTTTGCATTTTGCGATTCCCTCTATTTTTTGGAGCTTCGACCTGAAAATATCCAATGATTATTTAATTTCATTGTAAGAATCTACCCCCAGATAATTAAGTGTCATACAAAGACAAAATATCTCATTCGAATTGAAAAACCCACTGATTCTCAGGAGATCTGACAATTAAGCACACTGATTTAAGCCTCACATATTATGCAACACAGGCCAGCTCTAAGTATGTAGAGGAACAAGAAGAAATTTTTCCTTTTCTTTTTCCTCTTCTCAGATTTCTTTAAAGCATGAATCAACAAAAAGACTTGATATGAAGAAATGCCTTAGTTAACACATGGTTTAGGAGCAAATATGGATTCAACTGTACAATTGAACCAGATAAACAACAATAACAAATGTGAATTAGCCAACCAATTCTCTGAACCAGGCCATACGAATAGGTCCAAAGTGCAAGTTACAATCTTACATGTCATCAAACCAAACAAAGTTATATTTCAGGTCTTTTTTATTTTTTGAAGTGGGGATGGGTGGGGCAAGAGTAAGTGCAGGTGGGTTGGGGGGATATAAATTTTGACCTATTCTTCACCAGCTCTAATTTTCAAATATAAGACACATCACATGTCACTCGACCCTACTTGACCATTTAAGCCATATCCCAATTGTATCTTGTACTGTTATTTAGGACTCTATGTAATGTATGCCATAGTCATCTCTTTACAATTACTCAAGTATCTCAATTGGTGCCGTAGGTTTCTGCCATTTGTAGAATTAGTATTTTGATCGTTTCAGTTCTCTAGGTAAATTGAGTAATAGTGTTTGTTCACAATCTCAAAACAGAAAAGAAAAGAAATCACCACAATCAGCATCATAGAGCTTAGATAAGAAAACACACTCAAAATCATCAGTATCTAATGAAAGAAACCCCTCAAGGCTGCAAATCTTGCTACAAAGAATATTGGTGCAAGATAGTTCCAGTTACCCATTTTTGAGATATGTCCCAAGCTTTTAAAGATAATTAAATCAAGATGTGAACAGATGCAGCACAAGATATTGTTAATAATATAACAACACCACAGAAACTATAGATACTTGCCTGCCAGAGAAGGCACAACATTGATTCCATCTGGTTTCGAGCAACAGAATCTCCAACAAAAGCTAGCGTCTTCCCCCTCATCAACTCCAGAAATTTCTTTGCATCAAATCGGGGGAGCTCACATTGAGAGGGTTTCCATCGCCAACTCTCATAGTCCTTGTCAGGTCTCCCATTTCCTTGGCAGTTCTGCATCTGTGTCAGGACAGGGCACGTGTTGTTGGTGTACAATGGTCCAGACGAATCATAAACCCAACTTCCTTGGTACAGATCACAACCTAGACATTAGATATTCAAGTTGCAAATTAGAAGCTCGAATAAATGAGTAGGAAGAATAAGGGGGAAATACAACTGAAAAACAATAAAAGTATTGCTTGTACTCTACAGCAATCCATGCTGATCATCTACGTCTGTACATGAATAATGCTATCAACAACTGACATATATCATTCAACTGGCATAACTAACTTCTTGCAATCAGTATATCAAAGCTAACCCTAATTTATTAAATGGGGAAGAAGGCAATGAGTTTTAATTTAGGAAAAGATTATGGCTAAACAAACTGCATCATCATTAACTGAATAAAATCCTTTTAGCCATTTATAATAAGTAAGCCGCAAAAATGTTAAGTAACCACACCTACTTTCATTTTTCGTGGCTTTTATTTCCCGATATTTTTTGCAATCTGCTGGAAGAATTCCATACTTAATTTGGGGGGGAATGGTAAAGGTGAATTGAAGTATATTAATGACTGGAGAATAGGTACATGGTTGTTACAAATATTAAGGATGAATAGCAAAGGTACCATCTTCAGACTTCAGTAAAGAGGTAAACACAATGAATCAATTCTTTAAACATTTTCCAAATTTGGAGCAGATTCCACCATAGATGAAACAACATGTATGGCAAGTAATAAATCAAATGCAAGAAGCAAATAAGATGTTTAAATAAGACAATAGAAAAACCTGAAACAACTGAACCAATCTTAGTTGCATTGCTTCCCACAGTTGGTGCGGCAGCCCTTGCTCCAGATTCATCAGAAGATCCGGTTTGACTATTAGCATCACCAGATCCTGCATCTCCACCATCTGACTTATCTGGTGAGCCCGCAGAATCCACTTTCTTATTTTCAACATCCTCCTTAACCTTGGAGGCTACAGAACCATCTTTTGCCTCTCCTCTTGGAGGACTAGCTGACAAATCTATCTGTGAACCATTTCTACTGTTGGACACTGACCCACTAGACTTAGGTGCTGAAACATTCTGATCAATCACATCCCTAACTTCTAAATTGACCCCTGATGACGAGTTCTGACCAATGGCATCTACAAAGTCTTTAATGTTTGTTTGATTACTAGAAATGTCTAATCTTTTCTCAAAACCATAAAAATAAATGTGTACCGTAGAACCAACTGGGTAAGACACTAGAACCCAAGAAGCAAACATCAAAAACATGGCCAATCCTCCCACTGCAATTGCAATGGAGGAAAGAGTCCGCGGATAAAAAGCCACGGGAGACGCCCCCGAGCCCGAAGAAGCCAAAGTCATGGCTTGATTTAAGATCCTAAAACGAAATATCAACCATGGACACACTCTTAAACTAAATTTTCAACTCCTAAGCCACAATAAAAATAAAATCGTCCCCCTAAAATCTACTTTGAAATTAACCAAGCTACCAATCTAAGGTCTAAACCTCGCGAGGCAGTAAAGATTAATAACAGAACCGCTGCTTCGATCTTCAAACTTTGCTTCAGAATTTCAATTCCTTCAACAATCTGAGACAGTAAGAAAGCAAATTCAGCAAAAAATTGACCGCAAATTCAGCAAAAAATTGACCGCAGTAAGAAAATTTTAAAGTTTAAAGATAAAATATAATTATAATTACTGATTAACGGACAGATTAAGCAAAGAAGATTTTACAGAAAATCGTCCACTTCTTCGTCAAAATTCTTCAACAATAATTAAAAAAAAAATTACTCGTAAAAATCAAGAACCTTAAATCCAACGAAAAGTAATCTTCAATAAACATATTAATAGAAAGACAATGCAAGTAGAGTTAGGTACCGAAAACAAGCTCCAGCGTCATCAAACTCGGCGAGTGTCGTCAGATTCAAGATTTTTTTCGTTGGACGAAGTGAATTTCCGTTTTGTTTTTTCTCCCGCGAAACTTTCGCAGCCGTGTTATACAAGGAAAGAAGATCTTGATAATAAATGATTACGAATCGTGATATTATATGTAACTTACGGAAAATTAGGGATTGAAATTGTAAAATGAGTTTCGATCAATGTAGAACTTGGCTTTCATTCCAGGGAATGAGAGACAGAGTTTATGTGCGTGTGAAACAGATAGCTTATGTGTAATTACTGAAATGCCCCCAAATTATTACAGCGTTTTTCTGTCTTATCAAATATGAACACCGCAATTAATTCGCTCAACAATAAACTACTTCAATTAGTTATAACTGAAATGTCGTAACCTCTGTAATTTGTTAAATCATTATTATCTAAATATTCAAATTGTAATTTAAATAATTTTATATTTAATAATCTCTGATATCTTTTGATATAAGATTTTCGAGACAGAGCCTTTATTAGTTTGCTGAAGTTGATTATTTAGGACAGCGTTAAAATTAGTAAATAATAAATGTTTGTCACTTTATTTAAAGGATATCTGTTTATTTAAGTTGTTTGAATTCTTTTACACCTGCTGCAAACACGCAGCGGGTACGGGTTCAGTAATTCCTATTTATGAATACAGGTCAAACAGGTAAAAATTATGAATGGATATAAAAATATATCACCTTTACTTGATCATGTGGGTATAGGTGGATCCGTGAATCACCCATTTCTTTTATTTTTTAGTCAAACAAAATATGATCATATAAAATTATATTAGGGTTGTTGGTTACCATAAACATAAATTTAGTGGAACAAAATAGGATCATGTAATTCAATTTTTTAAAATATATTATCAAACATTTAGAATTTATATTTATGTACAAACGATTATTAATAAATTAAAAGGTATATATATTTTTTCCGTCACAAAAATTATCTTTTTGCATTAATATATAGTCTCTTTTAATAACTCAGTTCATTTTTCATTATACTGCAGCATAATTTCTTGGCATCGTAGTTTTAAATAAATATATATAAATAATTCATGATCTCGAATAAGGAGTTGACTACCTATAAGACATTAATACCATGAGAAAAAATTATTTTTAATTTGATCAGACTTTATCTGTACTCAATTCTTTTATTGTTTAAGTCGACTTCCAGACACCATATATGGTAACATTAACATGATATTATATGATCTTTAATTATTATTTTTACATTATTATTATAAAAATTAAAACGTTAATGAATTCCCCTGTACAAAAGCGTAATTGCGCGCGTCCCTCACGGTTTGCACTTTGCACTCACAATCACAGGTCACATGTTTAGTGGGGCCTCATATTCATTGGAGAAAGCATAAAGTTACGTGTGATTCTATGATTGATCTGATGTGTAGATAATAATTAGGAAAAAAAATTACGGCAATGGTTAATATTTATAAAATAAAACTACGTGTGTTAATTAATTTATATTAAGTCAAATACTAATATTAAAATTTTAAAATTTTTTAAAAAAATATTAAAATTTTTAATGTTAGTATAAATTAATTAGTATCCGTAACATTACACATATTTATAAACCCAAGTGGCTCGTGGCCATGAAAGAGCGTGACAAAGAGAAAACGGTAATCAAAGAAGAATCAATGTGTCGAATGCCGATAGGTTTTATTTACAGCACGGTTAAAAAGAAAAAATTGAAAATTAATTAAAATAAAAAAAAATCCTTCATTGAATTTAATGAATTCAGGTTTGGGGTAGTGGGGCCCACGCAAATTGCCTCCTCTCACCGGAACCGGAAGTGCGTGCGGCTGCTTTTAACTTTCAAATTCGGCGCCTGCTGGGTGGGATCCACACGGCTCCCGCATATAGGCTGGGCTTCATTTTTAAATTTAAAAATCTTAAACGGGTACAGGTGGCAATCGTAGAAACTTCTGGATAAGACTGTGTAAAAAAATCTGGATCAAGATCCGATCCGCTCCGATCCGAAAAAACCAAAGATATCCGAAAATTCGGATCAATTCGGATAATAATTTTAAAAAATCCGAATATCCAGATCGGACACCGGATCGGGGTTGCTAAAAAAAAAATATCCGTAACCGATTCGGATTTTACTAAAACTACACCGTTTTCATTTTGATGCACACCCCTTTCAGCACACCCCTTTCAAATTTCAAATATCACTACAATTTAACTTTAACTTAAACTCAACCTACGTTTTACTCTTAACTCTCTCGACAATCACAAACTCACCATCGCCGTCTTCATTCTTCACTTACAGTCACCAACTCTCCATCGCCATCTCTCTCACTCACTCCTTCCATCATCAAAGCCGAGATCGTCATCAACATTGGAATCAGAGAGCCCCAATTCGTCAGTTCCTTTCCTAAATCCCTGATTGAAGCCCCAAATCGAAATTAATTTAGGGTTTTACAATAATCCCTAAATTGAAGCCACAAATCAGACCATTCCAGCATTCCTACTTGTGATTTCTTGTACTAGAAGGCCCGATTCGCAAAAGCCCTCAAATTTAAAAGGTAAATTTTGTATTTTTTCATCTTCTTTTATATGAATCTATCAAAGAATTGTGATGCTCCATGAAATGAATAACAGAACATTAAAGCTTTAACAGAAAACCTCAATGACCCTACTCAATGCCTCAAAGGCTCAAACTATATTCCTCCAGCCATTTATTTATGCTCCTTCAGTCAATTTCAGGTTTGTTCTTTCGACCCTCTTATTATTATTATTATTATTTTGATAAACCCTGACAAAACCCTATTGTATGCATTATTTTGAAAAGTGAAATTGAGCTTCAATTTTGGCTCAAAGAAAGAAGAAATAAATTGGGTTTTCTTTAATTTTTAATGCATGTTTATTTATTCTCAGCATGCAAGTTTGTACCTTGTTTGGCTTCATTGTATTATTAAGTTTTGCGTTTTTTTATAGTTTTTAGAATTTTCTATCAGTGCTTTTATCAATTATGTCTTTCTGCGTAATCTTAGATAAATTTTATCTTGTATGTTTATATTTTCTTTTTCTGTAGGGAGATTGAGAATATGGGTATGTTGTTTCATTTCAGCCAACAAAATGTACTTTTTAATGCTCCTGATGCCAATGTTAAAATCCGAGGACGAGTGGGGGTAACAATTACTCCCAACTCTCTTCTAGTCACACAATTACTTTGTAGTTTGTAGAATAAAGAAGAAATTAAATTAATAATAAACTACTTCTGTGCCTGCACAAACCTCCCTTCTTATCTTCATTTTTTTATATTACTAGATTATTGAATTTTTATTGTTTAATTAGTTTAAACAAGAATAAGATTTTTTCCCCAAATACAATTTAATTATATATGTTGGATAATGAATGTTGCTATGTTAATGTTATTGATGTTTGTTTCGTCACCATTTTATTTGATGTTGTATGGTGTAATGAGTTGATTGTTGAAGTGGGCAAATCCAACCAATTGGTGGGGCTGGTTTGTTTGATTAGAAAAATAGAAGTGTTTTCCTTTATGAGTATGAATTTTTTGGCTGTAAACTTGTTGTTTTGGATTCATTAATATTGGTTTGGCATTTTGGAGGTTGCTAACATAATGTTGTCTTTATATATTAATAGGTTGAATTAAATTTTAGGGATGAATGATAAAAGAAGCATAAATTCTAGACTTATTGTTTGTACACTGCAGGTTGGAAGCATAAAGATTAAGGCAAGCTTTAACTTGAGAATGAAGAACCATGATGGCAATTTAGTCCGTGGAGGAAATAGAGGGAAGTTGGTGTGATGAAGTTGGCATGAAGAATTGAAGATTAGAAGATGTATTAGTATTAAGTTGGCTGCTTTTTTTCGTCTTTCTATTAAATTTGTAATTTGTGTAATAGAGTATGTGTTAAATTGGTTAAGCAACTTGTGGATTAATTTGTTGGTATCCTGCATGATATAATTTCAATTTTATTGCTAGAATTATTTGATTTTAATAAGAAAATTTTAAAATTCGGATCAATTTCGGATATCCAATTATCTGATCTGAATAATCGGATATCCGTAAAACCGGATATTCACATAATTCGGATTGGATTTGGATCAGGATATAGCTTGATCCGAAAATTCGGATCGAATAAAAAAAAGGCCTATTCGAATGGGATATCTGGATTTGAACAGCCCTACTTCTGGAAGACCTCTGTTTTATATTTTTCTGGTATAAAACCATGTGTATTGATATGACATGTCGTCTAGAAACTATGGAGTTATTGAATGTCCTTCGGAAATATTTGGGACCACATTCATTTCATTAGGGATGGGCGGGGGCTAGGGTGGGGTCGGGGACCCCTGTCTCCAGCCTCGGTCGTAGCCCACATGGAGAATTCGGAGAATTCCCAAATTGGGTCGATACCTAAATAGGAAATTCGGAGAATTTCGGAAATCCTTGTTTGGAGGGTTTTGTATTACATTTTTTTTTTTTAATTTATACTTCTTCCATTTCCAAATAAATGACGCTTTAGTTAACTACATACTTTTTTATATACTGATTTTTTTCAGACTAGACTTCGCAAAACAGGTGGGTGGGTCGGGTACGGGTTAGGTCATCATGGATACGGATACAGGTATATGGGTCGAAAATATTGGACCCATACCTTGCCCTCTGCAGGCACGGGTGGATCCGCGGGTACTCGTATTTTCTCTCTCCAGATTTTCATTTTTGTACTTTCACCCCCAATAGTTTTCAATTATGATAGTTACACCCCTAAAATTCTATATTAAGATATTGTAAAGCCCTTTCTTCCTACTAGGAACTTGAAATAATTGAAAGCAGCTCTACTTCACAACAAATACTTTTATTTAATATAATCAATGTGTAACTTCAATCAACCCCACACCACACACTCCTTTTTCAGCAAATAAACGTCCAAGCCCTTGTTTAGGTTTAAGAAAGTTGTCTTTTGTAATAGATAATAATGTTATTTATTTAGAAAATTGAATCAATCTACCACTTAAATCATCACAATATCACCACCAACAACAAAATCAATACAATATCACATCCCTAGGAGTGAATGGTAGAGTTCAATCTATTCTTCAAGAAAAAGATTTTATTTAATTACATTAACTCAATATCATATTTACAGGGACAACCGGATAGCTATTACTCTAAAAACAATGCCTGCAATTCACTAACTCTAAGCACAAAAATCCTCAACATTTACTGTTCATACAGACAGAGATTTCACAAACTGTAATCAGCCAAAATATACAAATCTTGTGAAAGATATTCTACCCAACAACAACATGATCACAAAGGTCAATTAAGCATCAAACAAGCTGCTGCTTTTCTAGAACAAAGATGGATACAATAAAAACAAATCTTGAAACCCAACTCACCGATCTACGACTGCAATGGTGGGGAGGAGAGCTACAAGTCTTGCGACGGAGAGAGAGAGGAGATGACGAGCCAACGCCGACGACGTGAGAGAGAGGAGATGACGAGCTGATGCCTGAGTCCCGACAACGTGAGAGAGAGGAGATGACCAACCGATGAGGATGAGTGAGGGTGACCAGCGACGGTGGGACTGGGAATGTGAATGAAGGATGAGAGATTGAGAGTTTATAGAATGAATGAATCAGGATTCAGGTGAGGTATACTGATGACTGATGACTGATGACTGATGAGAGATTGAGAGACGGGAGAGAATTGTTATTTTGATTTGTTTTAGAGTTATTGAGTTAAGGACTTAGGGTTAGGGATTTGCAAAATTGGGTACCCGCGGGTTCACCCATATAACCCCTTAGCCATACCGGTTGGGCCAGGTATGGGTTTAAAAAAAAGGTCCAATATATTGGACCCGTACCCTATATTTTTTACCCGGGTATGGGCCCACCCGCAGGTCTGTACATGTTTTGCCAGGTCTAGGTCAGACGGCCATAATCTTAAGAATAACATATTTTGATTTGATAATAAAAATTAAATTAGAGATATTTCATATAAAATATGTGATCTAATCTAGGTTTCAGGGTTACCGTAGGATAAGTTAAAAGCTTATGAACTTTATTAAAAAAATTAATGCTAAAAGTTGGTGCAGACACCACCCTGTCAAACATATTTTATAGTTTCTCTTATACATAAATATATTTATATTTATTTATTTTCTGCTTTGATTATCTTGTAGGGGCCTTCCTAGGTGGGACTGAGTTTGCCAGAGTTGATCTCCTTGGTGTTTTGGAAGACCCTGCGAAGGACCCAGTCGCTTATCTTGAAAGTACAGATCCTCACGTTGCAGTTATAATGTCGGGCAGCCTGTTGCTGGTAAACTGCATTGCAGATGCTCGCCCGTTCCGTAGCTCGTCCACGGTGTCTAGATTCTGGCAGAGGTTGTGACTGTTTGATTCCTCGTCCACCCATTAAAGCCTGGCGGACGGAACTGATACTTTAGTTGGGATGACTGCTTCAGAACCGTATGTGAGGGAGAACGGGGTTTCGCCCGTTGATGAGCGAGTCTTGGTTCGGTATGACCAGAGGACTTCGAGTAGCTCGTCTGCCCATGCACCCTTAGCTTTCTGCAATCGCTTCTTCAATGTCTGTATGATGGTCTTGTTTGATGACTCGGCCTGGCCGTCAGACTGGGGGTTGCGGGGTGTTGAGAAGCTCAGTTTGATTCTCCACTTGTCACAATAATCCCTGAAGCCTAAGCTAATAAACTGGGATCCATTATCGGTGACGATCTCCTTCGGTATCCCGAACCTAGAGATGACATTCTTCCAGATGAAGGCTTTTACCTCTCGATCTCTGACTTGTGTGAAGGCTTCGGCTTCGATCCACTTGGTAAAGTAGTCTGTCACAGCCAACATGAAGACTCGTTGCCTCGGTGTAGTAGGTAGCTGTCCCACGATGTCCATTCCCCACTTCATGAATGGCCACGGTGTGAGGATGGAATGGAGTCGCTCTGGTGGGAGGTGTGAGACATGTGCAAACCTCTGACAGCTGTCGCACTTCTTCGCGTAAGCGATCGAGTCGGTGTGTATGGTTAGCCAATAATATCCAACGGTGATCACCTGGTGTGCAAGACTACGGCCCCCTGCGTGGTTGCCGCATTCGCTTTCATGGAGTTCGGCTAGAACACTTTGGGCTTCTTTTAGGCTTACGCATTTGAGATAAGGGCCCGAGAATGACTTTCTGAGGAGTTGGCCCTCATGTATGGTGAATCTGACGGCTTTTGCTTTCAGTCGGCGTGCTTCGTTCTTTTCAGCCAGAAGTTCATCGTTTTCCAGGTATCTTACTATCGGAGTCATCTAGCAGTCGGCTTGTTCAACGCCCATGGCTTCTACGGGAGACTTGTTCGGTGGTTGTTCCTTCCAGTTGGCTGGCCACTGCATGAATAAGAGAGGAATTGATGATTGGGAGGAACATGGGAGTGCCGAGCCAAGGTTGGCGAGAGCGTCGACATGGTAGTTCTCAGCTCTGGGGATCTGTACAATGGAGAACTCTTCGAATTGGGCCTGCAGCTCTTTGACCATGCTCAAATAGGATGTCATCTTTGAATCGCGTGCTTGATATGTGCCTTGTAATTGATTGACTACGAGTTGGGAATCGGACTTCACTTCCAGTCTTTTGGCTCCAATTTCTCTGGCCAAGGAAAGTCCAGCTAGGAGGGCTTCATATTCGGCCACATTATTTGTGCACTTGAACCCACACCGGATTGCTCGCTAGACGATGTCTCCCTCTGGTGAGATCAGTACTATTCCGAGTTCGCTTCTATTGACATTACTCGATCCATCTACTAGGAGATGCCACTTTGAGGGTGGTGCGCCGTTCATGCATAATAACTCTCTTTTAGCCTGGGTGGTGGCGCTTGGTGTGAAGTCGGCAATGAAGTCTGCTAGTGCCTGGGACTTGACGGCAGTGTGGGATTGGTAGGCTATGTCGAACTCACTGAGCTCTACTGTCCATTGCATGAGTCGGCTTGATAGTTTTGGTTTATGCAGTATCTTCTTAAGTGGGAAGGAGGTGATTACAACAATGGAGTGGCACTGAAAGTACGGCTTGAGCTTCCTGGATGCATGGATGAGGGCGAGGGCCAGTTTCTCCAGTTGACTATACCGAGTTTCTGCGTCGAGGAGTGACTTGCTCACATAGTAGACTGGTAACTACTTCGATTCTTCTTCTCGAACTAGCACTGCTGAGATGGCTGTCTCTGAGACCGCTAGGTAAGAGTAGAGCTTCTTCCCGTCCACAGGTTTTGAAAGAAGCGGGGGTGTGGTCAGATACCTCTTCAGCTGTTGTAGGGCTTCTTCGCAGGAGGGGTTCCAGTCGAACTTTTTGGACTTCTTGAGGGCATGGAAGAATAGGTGGCACTTATCAGCTGATTTGGAGATGAAGCGGCTCAGAGCGGCCACTCATCCTGCAAGGCACTGGACGTCTCTGATGCAAGTCGGGGATGGTATGTTGAGGATCGCTCTGATCTGGTTGGGGTTTGCTTCTATCCCTCGCTAAGTAATCATATAGCCCAAGAATTTACATGATGAGATGCCGAATGAGCACTTGGCTGGATTCAGCTTCATGTTGTACTTCCGGAGGACGGCAAATGCCTGACTAAGGTGGTCAAGGTGTTGTTCAGTAATCAGGGACTTGACGAGCATGTCATCGATGTAAACCTCCATAGTCTCTCCTAAGTGGTCGGAGAACATTTTGTTGACTAGCCGTGGGTAGGTGGCCCCGGCATTCTTCAGTCCAAACGGCATTACTTTGTAGCAGTAGGTTCCCCTTTCTGTGATGAAGGCTGTCTTCTTTTAGTCGTCCAGATGCATCAGGATCTGGTTATATCCCGAGAAGGCGTCCATGAAACTAAGGAGTTCGTGCCTTGTTGTCGCATCTATAAGAATCCTTGGGGCAGACTTTGTTTAAGTCAGTGAAGTCGATGCAGACTCTCCACTTCCTGTTCTTTTTCTTTATGACCACGACGTTTGCTAGCCATTCGGGGTTAGTGGACCTCTCTGATCATGCTGTTGCTTAGGAGCTTTTCAATCTCTTCATTGATGATCCGGTTTCGGTCAGGTGCGAATTTCCTCCTCCTCTACTTCACTGGTGAGTGATCCGGATCTGCCTTGAGCTGGTGGACCATTGCATTTGGACTGATTTCGGTCATGTCAGTGTGGGACCAGGCGCATGAGTCTTTGTTTTGTTTGAGAAATTCTATCAGGTTCTCTCTTGTCTCGGGTTTGAGGCGGGAACCTATATGTGTCTTTCTCTCTGGGTCGTCCGGATGTATCTGCACTTCATCCAACTCTTCAATAGTCGGTTGGTCAGGCTTGGTCCGAGGGTTTGGATGAGACTGTAATTGCTATGAAGAGTTTCCTTTACTCTTGAAGGCGTTCTTGTAGCAGTCTCTAAAAGCTTTGGGGTTGCCCTTGATCTCTCGTACCCCTCACTTGGTTGGAAACCTGATCGTCTGGTGGAAGGTAGATAGGACTGCCCGCATGTCGTAGATCTAGGGCTGGCCCAAAATGACGTTATAGGGAGATGGGCAGTCGATCACCAGGAAGACGGTCTGTTTGTTTACTCTGCTAGCATAGATGGGAAGGACGATCTCTCCGATAGAGTATTTCTGCTCCGAACTGAACCTAACCAGCAGTGTCGGTCGCCTGTTGATGTTTGCTTCTTCTAGTCCCATTACCTTGACTGCTTCGAGGAACAGGATGTTTGCTGACAAACCTCCATCTACGAAAACCCTTTTCACTAGGATGTTGGCAATCTGCAGGGAGACCACTAAAGCATCATGATGAGGAGCGGCCAGGGTGACCGGTTCATCATCTTCAAACTGAATTACCTGATGAGAGTGTGATCACGAGATCGGATGGATGGACTAGACTTCATGGTGGTGGTTGGCTCTAGCATACCGCTTGGCCGATGAGTAACTTACCCCACTGATCTTTGATCCTCCGAAGATAAGCGAACAGAAACCTTTCGGTGTGGGTTCTCGTGGAGGGGGTGATGGTTCTTTGGAGCTTTTCTGGCTAATGGTGTTCTTCCCTTTGTCAGTAAGTAGATCACAGAGATGTCCCCTTTTCAGAAGTGCAACAACCTCGAGCCGCAAGGCAATACAGTCTGCGGTGTTGTGCCTATGGTCACTGTGGAAATCATACCACTTGGTTGTGTCTCTCCTTGCCTCGGGATTGAGCTTGCCAGGCCACTTGACGATGGATCCTAATCCTTTCATTATTGCTACGACCTGGGTTGGTTCGACGTTGAGGTTGTACTCTAGTATTTTGTGTCGGTTCGATCCGAACTGCTTGTTATCATTTCTCATGGGTTAGCGATCATAAGGTTTCCTGACTCCGTCCATATTGAGTGCTGGAGGTTGGTAGCGATGCTCTACCGGTCCAGGCTCTAGCTTCCTGTCGCTCCGCCTTGATTCATATCTGGAGTGAGCAGCTTGGTTCATCTCATCTTCCTCCCATCTTATCTAGATAACCACCCGGGCCAGAGCGTTTTCCATTGTGGTGCAACCCAGCTTCGTAAGTTCTTTGTACAGCTTTCCATCCGGGAGGAGGCCTTTCCTAAAAGCGTCCACAGCAGTCTCGGGGTTACATGAGGGGATAGAGATCTTTTCTCTATTGAATCTACTAACATATTCTCTCAATGGCTCTCCCCTTCTTTGGTATATTCGGTATAGGTTGGCCGACAGTTTCTCTAGTTTCTTACTGCTGGCGAACTATTCCACGAAGGTGTCGGTAAGCTAGGCGAATGAATCGATGGATCCGTTCGAGAGGTTTGTGTACCACTGGAGCATCGGGCCGGACAAACTAGAACCGAAACTTTTGCACATGCAGGCTTCCCTAAGCGGTTGGGGTATTGAGATAGTGAACATCCGCTGCTTGTATGAGGCTATGTGGTCATCTGGGTCATTGGTACCATCGTACGGTTTCATGTTGGGGATGGTGAATTTCTAGGGCATGTCGGCTAGAGCGATCTCATCCACAAAGGGTGAATCAGCGTAACAATGGGGTCTGCTCTTCTTGGTTGGGACCGGCATTCCTGGAATGCATCTCATCACTGTCTCGACATCGGCTAGTCTCTTGGCCAGTACTTGTTCCATAGGAGAGGGGGATACTACCGGGTCATCCCGTCTTACTGGGTCTGCTACTGCATTCGTTCTCGGCACATTTCGTTGGGTCATCCCTCGGGGGGCGATCTGATAGATCATTCCGTCGTGCATTCCTTGGTAGCATGGATCTTCGTTCATCCCTTCCGGTTGGATGACTCCCATTGTCACTGTTCTATTATTCCGCCCTACAGGAATGGTCAGGGGAGTCGACTAGTAGTCGCTCAGTCTGTCAAGATGGATGAGCTCGAGTGCTGGAGTTGGTTTGGTTTGGCCATTCAACCCACGAGGGTGAACCGAGCCGAATGGGGTTTGTGTTTGGGTTGTTGACTAGAGGTGGAGCGGGATGGTAAGGATGGGCTGGTCTTGCGGATGTGGGCTTTTTGTTATTGGATTGTCTTGGTCACGAGGCTGGGATGGGTCGGCTGGATGGTGTTCTGTTGGCATATCTTTGTCTCCATTAGTCAAAATGGAGTCGTCGAGCGCCAATGCGCTTAACGGACGCGGCCCTTTACCGGAGATCGAGGGCTGATGCTCTGGTGTGGAAAGAGGTTGCATGGATGGGATAGGGGCACGGAACCGATTGGGGGGTACTTGGTTGGGCAAGAATTCAAGATCATAGAATTGACTCACCTTCTCTTTTCGAGATCGGTTTTTAGTCCTAATGGATGCGTTTTCGGTCTGGATTGCATTGTTCTCGGCTTCCAATGCGGCCACCTTGTCTGATTTTGGTTGCATGAGAGAGGTCAAAACCTCCAATCTGGCCTCAAGGCCGGGGTTAACGTTGTCGGGATTGTGAGCCATGGAATGTTCCTCCACGTAGCAAGGTTCGTCGAGCCGAATGATTGTTAGAGGCCTCACGGTGGGCGCCAAACTGTAGACATAAAATCCTACCTGTACGGAAGGGGGGTCAGATCCCGTGAAGTTGAGGCCACTAGCGATCTGTTGCACCTACACACGTAGAGAAACACATGCGTGAAGCGAACGGGTAACTCCGAGGTGGTGTTTGCCGTAGGCACTCCGACGCTCAAGTCAGCAGGGCCAAGAGGCTAATATAGTGAAGGCTAGGGAGTAAAAGGTTATCGGAAGTCTAGTCGGGGACTGTGACTACGGCGGTGATGTAAAGCTCTCAAGTAAGAGCTTTTAGTGTGAAGGTATCATGTCCTCTCCTCCGTGAGAGGGCTGACCTCTATTTATATAGTGACTGTCTGGTCTCCCAATCCTGGTGGGAGTAGGAGTCCTAATATGACTCTGATGCAAACCCTAGAAGAATTAGGGGCGTGGCAAGCTGTCTTACTAGTGTCCGGATAGGAAAGTGATTCTGATCAGGAAAGTAACTTCGAGTAGGAAAGTGTTTAGAACAGGAAAATGACTTTGAGTAGGAGATTGATCAGGAACAGGAATATGATCAGTGGGCCGTGGGCTCGGAACTCGCCTATAGGCCCAGGAAGTAAACTAGAACTGGGAGGCCCGTGCTCAGATGGTTTGGGCAGGCCGTATCTCGTATCGAATGGGATTATTCTGGCTTGGGCCTCTTTGGGATTTAGGCTTGGTCTTCTCTTCACAAATGGTCCTGCTTTCCTATTTGGGCCGAGGACGATTTTTGGCCCTAACAAAAATCAATGCTAAAAGTTGGTGCAGACGCCACCCTGTTACACTTTTTTAATTAAACATATTCTAAAGTTGGTCTTAAACATTACATTTTTAAAATCTTGGGTTAACAATTTTAATTCTACAGGCAACTTGTGGATAAGGAGAAGAGGAAGCACGTTCCAGCATGAATGTACAGCTAGAAAACAGGGATTAATTCTTAAATTTAAATCCGTTAATTATGCCGTCTTATTTAGATTACTTTTTATTGGAGAATCTAGACTGACTAATTAGGAGGAATCTTGATATACACAACAATGAGTGTTTAAAATTTCCGTTGTTATTGGATGGATCAATGCAGGAGGCTTTTTTTAATCAAATATTTTAGAATTAGAAGCCAAGTTTACCTAACTATTCTGTAATATATTTCTTTCTATAATATTGAAGATTCAACATTGATGTAACACTGGAATCTCATTTCATCACTCTTTCCACGTACCTTTCCTCTAGCTAGTGATTTAAGGAAATCTTTCTTTTAAACGGTCAGATTGGAATATGCCTACAAGAGAAGCACATTATCAAGATGAACATGTATATATATAGTGCTGGAGCCAGCATGGGCCAGGGTTTCTAATTTAATTATAGGTTAAATAAAAAATATAGTTATAACAGACGTCAATTAATTTTACTTAATAATAGAATATGTTCATTAAAATGATTACGCCACATCAGTGCCTCAAGTAGATGACAAATCCTGAAGAAGAGCAACAATGTTATGTAGTTCCTTAATTCAATTACAAATCCTGACAAATCAAAATATACAATTTTATTTGAAAACTATATATATAAATAGAGAGAGAGAGAGAGAGAACTACAAAATGGGATTCCTAAATTCAATTGTTCCCTTATTTAATTATAGCTGCTAATCTTTAATTACTTCCTTTGGAGATGGAACAAACTAGCTCTGTATCCTCCAAAGGAATCTTATGCTTAGGATTGCTTAAATATATTCAATTTTAAAGAGGCATCTTGTATATATATATATATATATATATATATATATATGACAAGGAGTGTTTGTACATATCCAATTGTCACTAGATGGGTCAATGTGGGGACAAATTTTAGGTAAATAGTAGAGTTACCGAAAAGTGTACATCAAAATTATGTACCGAATGACGTAACAAAAAGATTTTGTCATGTCATTCGGTACACACTCGTTGATAACTGTAACATTACTCCAAATTTTATCAAATTAATATTTTATAATTAAAAGACAATTTCACGTAACTATGACATAATATATATGTTTTTCTGTGTATTAAAGATTTCATGTAATGACATAACAGTAAAATCTTATTTTATGGTTGACTTTAATCTCACTTTTCTCGTTGTTTAGATTGAAAATTTGAAATATATTACAATCCAATATTAATGAGAATCATATCTCATTCTAAGTCTCATTCATCTCCACTAGTGATCAAACATTGTCTAATACTCTCAACTTTTTATAAATTGAAAGAACATAAAATTGTTCTTTCTCACCAACATTTAATGTTATATAATTGTCAGTATTATTTGTCACTTTCTAATTTTATATAGGCCGACCTCACCTATCAATTTAATCTTTTAGGTGGAATGGCAACTTAACATTTAAACATATTTTGCTAATTAAACATATTATGTAGTTGGTCTTAAATATGTTTTTAAAATCTTGGGTTAACAATTGTAATTATACAGGCAACATGTGAATAAGGACAAAGAGGAAGCACGTCCCAGCATGAATGTACAGCTAGGAAACAGGGATTAATTCATAAATTGAATTCCGTTATTTAATTATGCTGTCTAATCAAGATTACTTTTTGTTGGAGAATCCAATTTCTAATTGCGAGGAATCTTAATGTATACGACATTGAGTATCTAAGGTGCGTTTGGTTTATTATTTTAAATAAGATTTTGAGAATAATATTGGATAGTTGAATAAAGGAGTATTACGAGGTAAAATTTAAAAAATTATTAAAAAATCCTTAGGCTTGCTAATTTAATTAAACACTCCAATATATAAAATGATAAAAACACCCTCACTACCCACAATATCAGATTCCGGTCAGCACCACCGAAATATGGCCAGAAAATTGTGTTACGATATAGACCGATCGGATATATGTCGTAATACGTCGCTATAGTCTTTTTCGGCTAGATCTACCATGGATCTGGCCAGAAAAGGCTAGATCTACGACCAGATGTGGCCATCGACGGTTGGAAAAGGCCAAAGAAGTCTATCTTTGGCCGTTAGCGACGACCAAAGATATGACCAAGATTTGGCCGTCGCTAACGGCCAGATCGGTGAACTACCGACCAGTTCTGGTCGTGGTGTAAGCCGTTGTATAGATTTTGGCTACCACCGACGAAACTGTGGTTGTTGGAATCTGGCAAGTATGGGTTGATGGGGGTGTTTTTGTTAATTTTTAAACTTTTTTTTGGAGGTATTTAATGAAATTAATAAACTTAAGCGGTCTAAAAAT